TCATAATGCCAGAATTAAAGAGTGGGAAGGGAGGACAGGAAGTCAAGGATATTCTAATTTTTTGAGTTTCATCTGTAGACTTATATACCTCCCCGTAGTGCTTTACAGCACTCTCTGGGTGGTTTACAGAGTCAGCAATCTGGTTCCTCATTTTACCAACCACAGAAGGATGGAAGGCTAAATCAACCTTCAGCCAGTCAGGATTGAACTTCTGGATGTGGATATAGTTAGCCTGCAATTGTGTATTCTAACCACTGTGCCACCAGAACTCCCACTCTTATTCCCAGTGAATAAGATAAGGCAATGTAAGGTGTTGACTTCTTTCTCATTTCTCACTATCAACCAGTAGTATCCTTTAAGGAGCCACATCAATATGCTGAATCTAACCCTGGCATTTTCTAATAAGTCTCATGCCCCACTACTAAACATTCATTCAGAAAATGAGAAAGATGAACACAGTGGAACAGGCAATTTTTATATCCAAAATATATAAATAGTTTTGTTTTTGGAAGTATGGGAGTTTACATGTTTTAGCAAATAAAATAATGATAATGATTGCATTCTGATATTCCTTTATTGCCTTAATTTTTAAAAGCATGCATAAACTAAATATTGCACTGCTATTGTTTTAGTACTTATTCACATTCTTCCATGAATCAGTTTTTAGCCACTGAATTGATAACTATTGGTGCATTTGGGAAGGTAGGAATCAAAATAACAAGTGGCCCTCAATAGCTTATGAAACCTTGTGAAAGAACTGAAATAAAGAAGCTAATCTACATATTGAGAACACATGGCAATTTTTATTTTCTGAAATAGCGTCACAATACAGAACTAAATGTTCCTGCTCATCAATGGCTTTTTGTCATTAAAACATAAAACTTCAAAGAGAAAAGTGTTCTGATATAATAGGCTTTATAGAAGGAACACTCTGTATAGGAAAAATTTTCTTTGTCTTTGTCAATTTAAAACATGGAGCAACATTTGTGGAAACTTTTTCTGAATTCCCATTAGGATGAATCAATTGCTTTCTCAACAGTACTAGCCATGTTTGGAATAAGGTTTAGATGGCTTCAGAATGAGGAGTACCTTGGCCAACAGCCAAAGAGAGTTGAAGGATGGGGTAGTGATTTTAGGTTTCAGAATTCAGGATAAAAGACATTTGGATTCAGAAAGATTGAAATATTATATATAGGTTTAATGTAGCAGATATTAAAGTGTGATGAGAATCATAGCATTAGAAGGAGGAATGAAAACATAATTTATTTCTACAGTTATTGAAAATATGCTTTAGATAAGAAAACTAGAAAAGAGAAAACCCGTGGAACCACCCAAATCCAGTTAACTTTCTTTTTATTAAATACTATCTACAATGTCTTCATCTTTTCTGATGTTTTTATCTTAACAACTTTTCTTCCATTTGACACTGGCTGAATTTACATGTTGGGCTAAGACATAAAATAATTGTGTGTGATGTGTGAAACTAGTTAAAATTCCAATGGTTTCTGTGATTAGGATTTTCTTGTCCTTGACCTGGTCATCCCCCACCCCCATATTTATTTATAATGCCTTTTGTTAACAAATAGTATTTATAGTATTAAATAGTATTTAATAGTATTAAATAGTATTTAATCCCATAGTCTGTTTAAGTTAATATTTTCTTAAAATATTTCTTTATGGACATTGGTCAGCATACATGGTGGGAAGATTCAGTATTTCTTTCCAAGGTTTTCATTGTATTGCCACAATTGTGACAGATAAGTTGAAAATATAACTATCTGCCATGATTTCATTTCTATCTGCCTGATGTTCTTTAGTTTAATCTTCAATAGATTAAAGCCATATTGACTAGGAATTCTGGGATTTGAAATCCAACATATTGGGAGAGATTCAGCTGGGGAAACGTTGGGATATTCCTTTTTACCCAACATGCCTCCATGACAAACATTGACCTCTTTTTCAACATGTCGAGTATTGTTCTTTTTTACCCTTAAATTCATTTTTTCTCTGGCTGGCTATCTTTTATATCAAAGAAAATTATCAGAAGATATTCCACAATTGATGAAAATTTACCATGACAACTGATGAAAATTTACCATGATATAAATGGAGACATAAAAGCCATGTTTTATTTGAATATCATTCCAGATCTATTAAACAGAAGTGAAATTATCTGCATTTTAACTGTTGGTAACCTATGCTAGAACACCTCATACATGGACAACATACCGTGTTTCTCCAACAATATGGCCTCCACCAATAGGAAGGCCCAGCATGATTTCTAGGCATGAGGTGAAATTAAGCCCCACCCCCAAAATTTAGGCCTATTTAATCCATGCGTTTCCCCACCATTTCTCACATCGTTCGTTAGAACTACACGAGATGAAGAGAAATGGGGGGGAAGGGCGGGGGTGGTAAGAAAACTTGCCTTTAGTAGTGCCCTGCAGGTAGCCTAGGCTAGAATACCCCGATCTACCGATAGAACATCAGCCAATAGAAGCTCCCTGAAGGCAGAGTCCCTAGCCGCTTTGGGGTGAGGCATGGCTGCCCGTGTCCCCTCGCCATTAGGCAGTGTCTTTCAGGCGATGGAGGCTCCCCAAGGGCAATCACCAGCCACTTCGATCAGCCGGTAGAAGCTGCCTAGGGGTGAGCGGACACGCACACTCCCCTTGCCGCGAGGCTGCTTCTATCGGCCGACGAAAGCTCCCTTGAAGGCAGAGTCCCCAGCTGCTTCGGGGCGAGGCGTGGCTGCCCATGTCCCCTTGCCATTAGGTAGAGTCTTTTGGGCAATGGAAGCTCCCCAAGGGCAGTCATCAGCCGGTAGAAGTGGCCTCGGGGTGAGCACGCACACACACTCCCCTCGCCGTGAGGCTGCTTCTACCGGCTGATCAAAGTGGCTGGTGACCACCCTTGGGGAGCTTCCATCGCCTGAAAGACACTGCCTAATGGTGAGCGTACATGGGCAGCCATGCCTCACCCCGAAGCAGCTGGGGACTCTGCCTTCAGGGAGCTTTCGTTGGCCGATAGAAACAGCCTCGTGGAGAGGTACATGCGTATGGGCCGCTCTAGGTGAGGGATGAAATTAAGTCACCCCCGAAAAGACGGCCTAGCTGTTTTTTGGGGGGTCAAAAAAAAATAAGGCCCGGCCTTATTTTATGAGAAACACGGTGGATGAATCAGTTTTTTCAATAAAAGAGAATACATGTAGCTTAGATTTGAACTATTGAATTCTTAATGTGCTGATAATGTTATCTAGTTGGGTAGTGCAATGTCTGCAAGCAAACCTCTAAGCTCAAAGAATATCATGAACTCTATGAATTCATTTTTGTATTGAAAACTATTGATTAGATAGAGATGAACTTTTACCTAGATCTTAAGGATCTACATGAGGTAGCAAATATTGCTAAATTAATAGAATACATTTATGACAGAGGAAAAATATTTAACCACTGTTTCTTCTAGTTTTAATCTCGTGAATATAGGCAATTTGTACATTCATATAAATATTTTAATAATGTTAACAGTTATGGTTTTAGCTTTGGCTAAATGAGAAGCCTTTGTGTAATGTATATGTGAAACTTTTATATAAAGCAAACAAGAAGCTTAAGATAAAAAAAACTGTGCTGTTGAACAAGTAAACAGCCTGTTCAAGGTAGGCAATCATTTAGGTTAAAGAATATGCTTGTTATTTAAGTCAAAAATCTACAAATATTAAAATACATTTTAATATCTCTTTTCCAGATCCACGAGTTGATGGCTACCTACTCATGTCTTCACCTTTTCCACAAACATTTATTATTGCAAGTTATATATATATTGTCACTAATCTAGGACCAAAAATCATGGAGAATAGAAAGCCTTTTGATTTGAGGCAAATAATGTTTTTTTATAACTTTGGCATAGTGGCTCTTTCAATTTATATGACATATGAGGTAAGTAGAAGATTGCTAATTTGTTCTAATAGAGAGGTACAAAAGATTCCCCCGAAATATTAATGATTTTGTGATGTGAAGAGAAATGTAACTTAGGTATACAGAAATACTTTTGAAATCAAGGACTACATTTTAGTTTCTCAGTATGGTTTGAACTTCTTGGCTTAATCTCCATGAGATATGATCAAGGCTTATAAAATGAGTATTGTCTACTCTTTTCTTTTATCACAATCTTATAATCGGTGTTGTGAATAGCTTTGGGTACAACAAGCTAGGGACTACTCCAAAAAGAAATAAGCCGGGAGTGGAACAAAAAAGAAAATTAATTTCTATCTGAATAAAAAATATAATTAAATGCAATTTATAGGATTGTAATGCAGTCATATATTTAATTATTTCTGTCTTGATCACATTAAAGTGATAATGCTATACAAACTCTGGAATACCCATTGCTTATAAAGACTAAGCAAACTTGGGTCTTTGATATTCTAGGCCAAAATATTTTTGGGAAAAATATTATGGGACATAACTTAAATAAAAATTTCCTTGTTTCAAATTACATATGTCCCCTCGTAGTTCCTAAGGTGCTTTTTCAAAAGACAACTGGACTTTGTTTTCCCTTGAACACATTTTACTTCTTATCCATTTGAGAATTAAATTTTACCCATTTGAAGGCATTGTTTGGAAGAAAATCAGCTTGCTTTTATACATGCAATTCAGGCTGAGTGTACATGTCACACTAAACTATAATAAGATTTGTTTTTACATTAATGGATTGTATGAAGTCAGCCATTTATAGTTTATTCAGTTAAAAATAAAGTTCATCTATACATAAAAAGCACTTCCTTGAAACTTTTATAGTATTATTTATGCAACCCAATGATTTGTAAAAACTAAATATTACATTAAATTATTTTCTTCTAGTTCCTCATGTCTGGCTGGGCTACAGGCTACACATTTCGTTGTGATATAGTTGACTATTCCAGGTCACCTAAGGCTCTCAGAGTGAGTATTGTAATGATACTGTTGCAATCCAAATTAGGGCTGTCTCTGGTCTTTCTGCTGTATTTCTCATCCGAAAGTGTTCCAAGGGACTGAGTTTGTAAAACCCATGAAATAGGACCAGACCAGTTAGAAGTCTATTCAATTTAATATAAAGGAAGAGGTGACTTTTATTTAGGCTTATGGAAATTTCTAAAAAAAATTAAACAAATCCTGTTTATGTAACTTCATGATTGTTGGAGTAAAAAAATGACTTGATGGCACATTATCAGTCCATCAATTATGTAGCTGTGTTTTTCTTTTAGATCAAAGGTCTCCAACCCGCCAGGCTGCAGGCTACTACCAGGCCACGAGCCGTTCAGAACCAGACCATGGAAGTGGCGGACATGGGCATGCAGGTCCACTTGCGGGCTGGTGAGCGCATGTGTGCAGCTCCATTTATGTGCATGTGCCTACTGCTTGCATGGACTCATCCCTCTCCCCCTGCCCAGGCCAGTCTGCAAAGCCAGAAAGGTTGGAGACCGCTGTTTTAGAGGCTTCACTAGAGTCTACTTACTTCTGCCTCAGAAATAATCATATAGGGATAGTTAAGTTTTCCTACAAAAGTGTCGAATGTCAGTTTAACGCTATGTGTATTAAAACATTTATCATGCTTAATAAAATGGAGCATTTTCATACAATATTGAATGCTCAATCTTTTTGCTGTTTATAGATGGTTCGTGTCTGCTGGTTGTATTATTTTTCCAAATTCATTGAGTTGCTAGACACTGTGAGTATGATTATATAGTTTAATAAATATATTCTGGTCTGTGTACATAATAGAAGACTGATTTATAAACAATATGATATATTTCAGGCATTTCTTTAAATATTGAGTATTGTCATCATTGGAAGAAACGTTAGGTTGATTCTACTGAATGGGTGAAAACTTTCTGGATATTATAGACTAATTGGTATGGAAAATCAGACAGCTTAGTTTCTCACTTTCCGTCTCTCACTGAGAACGACTATGTCAAGATCTGCTCATTACTTATTCATAATAATGATGATGTGCTTTAACCATATCTGTAGATTTAATTGATAGAAAGTTCAGTCCAGTCTTCAAACTTAGCTCTTCAGATATCCTTGGACTCAAGTTTCAGAATTCCAAACTATGCTGGCTGCGATTTCTGGGACCTGCATTCTTAATACCTCTAAAAGTGCTCTGAATCCACCTATCCCTCCCTCCCACCATCTATCCCTCTCTCTCTCTCTCTCTCTCCATCCCCCTTCCTCCCTATCTATCTATCCCTCCATCCCTGAATCCCTCCCTCCCTCACTTCATCTATCCATCCCTGCATTCCTCCCATCCCTCCATCTATCTATCCCTCTATCTACCTATCTATCTCACCATCCATCCATCAATTCATCCATCCACCCCTCCCTCCATCTCTATTCATCTATCCCCAATCTATCCCTCCATCCATTCACCCCTCCCTCTATCTATCCGTCCTTCTATATATCCCTGCATCTCTCCATCTATCTTTCCCTCCACCCATCCCTCTATCTATCCCCCCATCCATCCCTTCATCTCTGCATCCATCTATCCTGCATCCTTCCCTCCCTCCCTCTATCTATCCATCTCTGAATCCATCTACCTATCTATCTCCTCATCTATCCATGAATCCATCCATTCAGCCATCTGTGGTCTCCTTCCCAGCTTCACGTGTTGTGTGAATCCAACCACTTGGGCTGTGGAGGGGGAGTGGAGGCTGGCAGGAAAAGCCAAGTGTTGGAGATCTATGCAAAATAAGACAACTCCAACCGGATCCTATCAGGGAGAGACCCCCCCTTTTCTCTCCCTCTCTCCCCCCGTGGTGGTGACCCAGGAAGCCTGAGCGCAGCTCCCACCTTGGAGGCAGCCAGCAAGCAAACAAATGTACCTCTCCAGCTGGGAGGCAGCAGGGCAGAGCCCTGCCTCCACCTGGCGAGAGCAGAGCAGGCAGCACTTGCATCTGCGGAGGGATGCACGAGCAAAACGATTGGAGCCACGCTCAGCGGAGTTTGCAAGTGGGCTTGGCAGTGCTGTGGCAGGGCCGGGTTGCGAGAGGAGAAGGAGTTGAGGAGGAGGAGGGTCGTCCGAAGGGAAGCCTCTGCCATGGTTCCTGTTCGTTCCTCAGCCAGCCTGGATTTCCAGAAAGAAAAAAGAAAAGGAGTAGCAAAGAGCCCTGAGGAGAGGTCTCTGGCTTGGCCCAGCCTTGGCTTTCTGAGAGAATGAGAAGAGACGCAGAGACAGAGTGCACAAGAGAGAGATAAACACACACAGAGACACGGGATGAGGAACCAGCTGATGGGCAAGCATCTTTGGTGCTTTGGCTTTCTCTGAGCCTGACCCACTGTCCTGAGATGCTTAAAGCTGCAGCTGGGCTCTGTGGGCCTGTTCCCCTGTTGTCTCCTATTCCCACCCCACCAGCCCCAAGCACCAACAAGAGCTGGAAGAAACTCCAACAAGAGTGAGACGCCAGAGAATCAGCCCTGGCTGCTTCTCCATCCCCTGCCATCGCCCTTGCCTTCTCAGGCCAGGCGAGGAAGAGGAGGGAGAGGGGTGGGGCCAGCCAGTGATGGGACAGGGAGCCACAGCAGAGGGCCCAAGGAGCCGCATGCAGCTCCGGAGCTGTGGGTTGCTGACACCCAATCTAAGTCTTGTATCTAATATTAGAGTCGGGAAGAAACAAATTGTGCAATCAAAGTCTGTGTGTGAGCCCTGAACTAAAACCCAAGAAGTTGACAGAATAATTTCTGAAATAGAACATAAAAGTTTGTAGAAAATATGCATTGAAAAATATTTCAGTTATTGATAGAGCATAACCTGAAACAATATAGAACAATCATATGAAAAGACAATCTCTTTAGTAAGACACAAAAGGATGAAATCTGAACTTCTGTCTCGCGCTCTCTCCCTCCCTCCCTCTCTCTCTCTCTCCCTGTTTGTGTGTGCATTTTGTCTAGGTGCTCTGAAATTCATTGATGCTCTTTCCCTCCGTTCTTGGAGAGAAAAATATTACCAGCCTATTGTAGGCCTTGGGGTTTCCTAAAGAAAGAATACAATATAAAAGAGAGATCCAAAGACTTCTAGAAGATCCTTTGGTTCTGTGATAATGTGAAACAATCTTTCCAATTTTATTTCCCAAGCCAGTTACCCAGACTTACAAAGTTGTTTTGAACTGGAGTTCTATATCATAGATTTATGATTCACATGCACTATTTCAAGCATTTTTAGGTGGGGCCGTGGATCTATTGTAGGGGATATGATTTCCATGGTGGACAGAATATACTGTATGGTTCAGCATGTGAATGGCCATAATTCCCAGTAGCACTAGCCTTTACAGCTGACTGGAGGCGGCGTGGATTCTAGATGCTGTAGAATCAACAAAATTGTAGGTTTTTAATAGCTAGTGCTGGGAATGACCTCTGCCAGATATTGTAGAAAATTATGATAAAGAGGAGACAATACTTGTTAGAGGGACCAATAGCCTGACTTGGTCAAAATCAGCTTCTTTTATTTTTGAACAAATTACTTTGATTTTTGCAGGTATGCTAATGTTTGTAATTTATTTTCATCTGTAAAATGTAAATTAGATAACAAACTTTTAAATATGTTCTACTGACCTTTCTATTCACATTGCTCATTTTAAATATGATTCATTTCAGATCTTCTTTGTCCTTCGAAAAAAGAATGCCCAGGTGACATTCTTACATGTCTTTCATCATTCAATCATGCCATTCACTTGGTGGTTCGGAGTCAAATTTGCTCCAGGTATTCAAAATTTCAGATTTCAAGTTGAAGGTTGCCTTTAAATAAATACAGAGTTTTGTGGGCTGGGAGGAGTTGTTTCCATACTTGGCCAAATCCAAAACTAGGTATTCCATTTATTTATTTTTTTGGTGCATTTGGACTCTAGGTAGTTTACTTAGCTGTTGAAAAATCTGTCTTTTTCTTTTACTTGGTATCAGGTTATTCAGGTGCAAGATCTATTGTGAGCCAAATCAAAGCATCAGCAAACCCACAATTAAGCTGAAATCTATAAATCCTTGAAGTTCTTAATAGCAAAAAAATGAGGGAGGATAGAGAAAAGCAAAAACTGTATGTCAAACAGTATAAAGAGTATTTGAAACCTGCTTCCACCCCCCCTTAAAATCATATACAAACAAGGTGAACTTAATGTAATGATAATGAATATTTGAGAAAATGTTCCTAATGATACTACTGCTTTCTTTTTTGAGGAAAGAGCTTGTTTGAAAGAAAAGATGAAACAAAGAATGACTATCTCTTCACATAGAACTGGAAGAGGCAATTCTGTTGTCTTACTAGAGCAGGGGTGTCAAACTTGCGGCCCGCAGACTGGATGCGTCATATGCTGGCCCCACCTCCTCCTGATTTAGCAAAGGGGGGAAAAGTCCCAATACGTCATGTGATGCCGTGACAACACGAGTTTGACACCTGTGTACTAGAGCGTCTATGAAAAATAAGGGAATGAGTGCTCCAGCTAGAAAGCTACTTGACTTCCTGTCCTCCCTTCCCACTCTTTAATTCTGGCATTATGA